ACACGAGAGAGGCCGGTTCTGGGGATGAGGGCCATCGTTTAGGGGAGTTGGGCGTAAACTGGAAACGTGCTTGGGAGATGTGTGATAGATAGAGAGAGAGAGAGAGAGAGACAACAACACATCCCTAAACCCTAAATCCTAAACCCCAAACCCTAACCCCCAAACCCTAAACCCCAAACCCCAAACCCCAAACCCTAAACCCAAATTTAGGGAGGGGGCTCGAGGGTCTTTGATTTAAACTAGAAGTCCCCTATAGGGATTGTAGTACCTTGTATGAAAGTCCCTACTAAGGGCTGATAGTATAGGGGGGGAACATCCCAAGTCTCTGAGCTGTAGGGTTTAGGGTTTAGGGTTTAGGGTTTAGGGTTTAGGGTTGAGGGTTGAGGGTTGAGGGTTTAGGGTTCTAAGGTGTTTCGGACTAGCTAGGCTGCACCCACTCCTGTCGAATGCGCCCGCGATGATATTTTCGGACGAGCTCATTCCTGGGAATTCGGCTCCGTCAGCGGGATGAGGGTGAGTGTCGGGTTTAGGGGCTTAGGTTTACGGAGGCGTCAACTATCCGATCCACACACTCAACTTCAGTTCTGAAATACCCAAGGCTAACTGGACTCTAAACTATCCGGCCCAAATGCCAAGCTGCCCAGTCCTCAGCTGTAGCTTGGGCTGTTCCCCCTGAAACGAACAAGTCCTTCATCGGGATTCTCGTACCCCCTAGTACCCCTTTCTATCATCCCAATTGAGAACTGTTTATTTGAGGGGGAACAGCCCAAGCTGTACTACACTACAAACCTTGAACCCTGAATCCTTTATGCATAAAACACGGGGACTCGAAGCTCCGAATCCTACAAATCGACGACTTGGGTTTAGGGTTTAGGGCTTAGGGCTTAGGGTTTACGGTTCTGAACCCCCACACCCTAAAGCCTAAACCCTTAAAGCCTAAACTCTAGACTCTAAACCCTAAACCCTTTAAACCCTAAACCCTAAACCCTAAGCCAAGTCCTTGATTCTTTTGCAGCTTCGGCTCACCTCACTGACGTGCTGCAAGACCTCATCTATGCCGCCAGCCTCCTCGAACCTTTGATTGATGGGGTTCTCAAAAAAAGGGGGGTTCAGTCAAGGGGTATGTATCCCGAAGGCTCCCTAATACCCTACTGCTCCCCTGAGCTTTTTGAAGGTTGTCTAGGTACCTACCCTTCGCGAAGTCCCCTCCCTTAAGAACCCTATAAACCATGGCTTGACAAAATCTTTGCTACTGTTTAATCTCCTTAGAGGGTCGCACGCCAGATTCTGAGGGACAGAGCCAGCTACCACTGCGCGGGAGGGATGCGCAAAACCGAAACCTAACGGAAAAGTGGGCTTCAGAGTGTAACTTACCTACCAGGCATGCCTCTTCAACCAGGTTCAAGAGGTCACGGGGGGTAAAGGTGTCACCCCAAACCCTAACCCTAAACAGGCCCTAAACCCTAAACCCTAAACCCTAAACCCCAAACCCTAAACCCCAAACCCTAAGCGCCTTGGGGGTCCAAGAAGCGCCTGATTGTAGCGATCGGCCATCTCCCGCTCGATCTCCTCGAAGCTCAGGGAGTCTTCCTCGCGGCGTTGCTGCGATGTTTTTTTGGGGGTGAGTGGGTGGGGGGGAGGGGCTGAGGGGTTTAGGGGTTTAGGGGTTTAGGGGTTTAGGGGTTTAGGGGTTTAGGGAGTTTAGGGAGTTTAGGGGGCTTAGGGAGTTTAGGGTGTTTAGGGAGTTTAGGGGGTTTAGGGGTTTAGGGGCTTTAGGTGGTTGAGTGGTTTTGGGGCTTTAGGGGGTTGACTGGGTTGAGGTATTTTCGGGATACCCCTGCTTTGGGGACATGCACAAAGGTGTCCTTCTCCAACTTGTCGGGCCGCTTCTTCTTTTGAAGCTTGTCTCGCAGCAGGGCCTGCCGACTTGCGATTCAATCTTAGGGAATTCTGCGTGTGAGGCGTTTACAAGGTGCAGGTCTTCAGGTTCCGCCTTTCGATGAGGATTTAGGGCTCGGGTGTGTAAAAGCCACACGCTGACCCCAAAAGTAGTATGACTGCTGGAAGGCTGCATGTCCATTTCGATGGTCAGAACTTTCCTCCCGCCCCCGCAACCCTAAACCCCTGAAACCCTAAACCCTAAACCCTAGACCCTAAACCCTAAACCCTAAACCCTAAACCCTAGACCTAAACTCCCTAAACCTTAAACCCCCCAACCCCTCGGCCTCCACATTCCGCTCGATCTCCACCCGCCGAGCATGGTGCATAACCGCCTCGTAGACGCCAGCGGCCTCGCCTGCGACAATGGAAGCTCGCTTGTAGAGTTTTTGGGGTTCATAAAGTTCAGGGTTTAGGGGGGTGGACGAAGTTTATAGGGGGGTTGATAAAGTTCAGGGTTTAGGGAGGAATGCTTAGGGTCATTTTGAGCCTCAACCCTAAACCCTAAACCCTCAACCCTTAAGGTTCAGGGTTTCCGGGGGTTTTCACGGGCTTCGACATCCCTGATAAGGGCTTTAGGGGCTTCGGCATGCCAAATTAACCCATGCACTGATATACTCTACTGATTCTAGTGACGGTCATAAACTAGTTGTAGCGACGGTCAAGTCATAGACTAGTCCTAGCAAAGGCATCAACAGCCCCAGGGATCCGAAACTCTCTAAGGTTTAAGGTTTAGGGTTTAGGGCTTAGGGCAAACCTTCAACCCAAACCCTATACCCTTGAAAGCCGAAGCGGCAGGGTATGCTTCAGGGCTTCGGGAGTTAGGTTTGCAACAAGTCTCATGATAGTAAAGCTTCAGGAGATAGTTCGGATTCAGGGACTAGGGTTGAGGATGGATAAGGGCTTAGGGCTTATGGCCCGCCAGCCAGGCACCTGCAAACTGTTCTTGGAACTGTTCGCACAGCTCCTGAGGAATCAGGCTGGGGCAGGGGATGGATTGGTGCGAATGTTGGGATGTTCGGCAATATACTAACAGTCCTGCATAGGGATTGCAATTGGGAGGATTATCATCCCGGTTAAGGACTGTTTGCATAAGATGAAACACTCCCAAGGTTTATGGTTTAGGTTTTAGATAGTATGAATCAGTTCAAGTCAAGGTTTAGCGCCACAAGACCGAAAACAGCCGACATGCTTCTTGGGGTCCTGATTATAGGGAGATCCTACTATTTGGGGCTCTAGATTGGGGGTCCCCCCTTTTTCGTAAACCCCCACATCAAGACAAACCAGCTGATGATAGCTTTGCACGAAGATACGTGGGCAAAGGCTTAAGACAATCACTGGCTTTGGGGCATCGGGGCTTTTCCAGCTTTGTTGCTGCGCAACACGGAGAGAAACTCATCCCTAACCAACACTTCAGCAACGCGAAATCCCTCCAGACGCTAAAGTCTTGAACCATAGAGCTTCTTCCCAACGCCCCAAACCCCAAAAACCCTAAGCCTGGACCTTAAGCCCTTCACCCTAGACCCACAAGTCCCAAAGCCCGAAAAGCCCTAAAAATCCCTGAAGCTCAGCACGAAACCCACATCGGCTTCTTTGGGCGTCACGCGAAATCCAAGCAACCCACGCCTTAAACACCGAAACATCTCGCACCATACCACCTCCAAACCGGGCTTAGGCCTTAGGGTTTAGGGTTTAGGGTTTGGGGTTTAGGGTTTAGGGTTTAGGGTTTCGGGTCTAGGGTTTAGGGTTTAGGGTACAGCAATACAGCCTTCTGGCTCCTTCACGCGGAATCCCAGATATCGACTCGCTGTCTTCGCACCCCGCCGCGCGCTGCCGAAGGCGAAGGAAACGAAAAGAGCAACGCGGCGCCACCTCTCTGCTTTCAACTATGGTTCGGAGCCGAAGGTTTCGGGCTTGGGGCTTTGGAATTGTGAGGTTTTAGGGTTTAGGGTTGTAGGATTTTGGGGTGTGTAGGGTTTAGGAGTGGTAGTCAGGGCTCTCCCTCACTTGGGAGCGCGGAAGGGGAGGGGCGGCGCGGAGTCTGGATTTTCAGCGAGGTGTGCGTAGCCCCAATGGGATCGACATGTTTCTTATGTTTCTGACTGACTCTGTGAGCTACAAAGAGCAACTCTCTCCATCATATGGGGCGCCCGAACTCAAGGGCCCGAGTGGTAATACAGTGAATCACTCAGGGCCCCAAAAGGGTTTGGGGTAGCTGGCTGGCAACATCGCAGAGCTTCAAGCTTAAGGGGTCAAAGAGGGCTTCGGATTCTTTAAAAGTCGCGTCTGATGGAGGGGAACGGGACCGAATCCCGCTCATCAACTTCTGGCCATTTGGGGGTTCCGAAATTCGGAATACCTTATTGGGGTCCTTCTTGTAAGGGAATCTATCGGGGTCCCTTAACTTATTTTCGTAAACCCTCATTTCCGAGTATCAGGAGCTTTGGGGGCGAACTAACAAGGACAAGGGGGTCTCTGCATTCAGTTTCTTTTTTAGCTTCAGGGCCCATGGCTTTCGCCATCGGTTCGCACGCCACCTTCGTCTCGCTCGGTGCCGCACATCCTGCAGGAAGACGCATGCATTTGGGCAGTTCTCAGGGTTACGTACCCGTTGAGGACAGAGCCTTGCACGCTTAGGGAGCCCGAAAAGGCCCATAATTCAGATAAGCTTCTTATGGGGAGAGGGTTTGCAGTGTACAGTGTCAAGGTCGGCAGGCTTTCGGGTGCAGATGGAAACTTCGTACGCAGGGTTTAGAGTGTAGTGAGTGTAGGGTGTGTCGCAGGCCCCCCAACCCAAAAACCCTTAAGTATCTGAAACCTGAACCCGAAGCCCTCGAAAACCCCCTCGACCCCTCCAAACAAAGGCACACCCCAAACCATCCTAAACCCCACAACACGTCTCCACTTGCCTTGGACCCTTCACCCTTCACCCTTCACCCTAAACCCTAAACCCTAAACCCCAAACCCTAAACCCTAACCCTAAACCCTAAACCCCACAGCACTTCTCCGCTTTCCTTGTTCACGGCCTTTGGCTCGGCAGATGTGGCCTGTCAGCTTTGCTGCACGAAGCCAAGGACTTCTGGGGGCTAGGGTTCCTACGCCCTAAACCCTGTACAGCCGAATGTAGGGTTCAGGGTTTAGGGTTCAGGGTTTATGGTTTGGGGTTTAGGGTTTAGGGTTTGGGGTTTAGGGTTTAGGGTTTAGGGTTTGGGGTTTAGGGTTTAGGGTTTAGGGTTTAGGGCTTAGGGCTTAGGGTTTAGGGTTTAAGGCGTTTTTAAGCCTAGAGACAGCAGCTAGGACCGAGGACCTAAGCACGCTTGATAGAGCTTCGGGCTTGCATAGAAGTTTAGGGTTTAGGGTAAGAAGTTTAGGGTTAGAAGCTTAGGCTTTAGGGTTTAGGGTTTCGGGTTTCGGGTTTCGGGTTTAGGTCTACAGAGGGGGTTTTTCTTGTTTTTTCTTGTTGGGACTGATGAAGAAGGTTGGGGGCAGATTCCCGGAGTCCGGCTGTATCCTAAACTTCTAACCCTCCCCTTCCTTCCTCATCAGCCTCAACAAGAAAGCAAGACAAAATCATCTCTGTAGACCTAAGCCCTAAACCCTAAACGCCAAACCCTAGTCGAACACTAGACCCTAAATCCTTACCTGCGCACAGGAGGCTGGGGGCTTTCGGGCCTTGGGAATATCCCGGCAACAGCTCCATCAGGTTTGCGGCGGGGTTTGCCGGATTTTGGGCACGCGGAGGTCTTGCCCAAAACCATTCACTCTTAACCCCAGAGCCGAACCCTAAACCCTGAACACCTCAACCTTGGGATGCTCCCCCTTGCACTGACAGTCCTTCATGGGGATGATAGTGGGGGGGTACTATCATTCCTAGTAAGGACTGTTAGCATAAGGGGGAACAACACACCAAGCTAAACCTTGAACCCTTAGAACCGAACCTCCGAACCCTGAGCCCTCAGAGTCTAAACCTCGACCACCAAAAGCCTCAACCCAAACACCCTAAAGCCGAAACCCTAAGCCCTAAACCCTAAACCCTAAACACAAGCCCTACAGAAGGGGAAAGCGGAAGGCCTTCGATGAGGACCGACCGGGCGGAGGCCATGGAAGCTGCCACTTCGTCCACATCTCCAGGGCCTTTTGGTCTAGGCCACTTCGCGACTTCTAGGTGAGGGATGCTTGGGGTTTAGGGTTTAGGGTTTAGGGTTTGGGGTTTAGGGTTTAGGGTTTAGGGTTTAGCGCTTAGCGCTTAGGGTTGAGGGTCTGAACCCTAAACCCTAAACCCTAAAGCCCAAAGGCTTCAGAATGTGGAAGGTGGAGGTCGGAGGCCAGGGGCTCTAATAGGAGCCCTGTATGACGATACGCAAGGGGTAGGACCTGTAGAAGAGACCCGTAATCCACTGCTCGAAGAAGATACTGAACAAATGAATGAATATACGTACAATGTACATCCAGAAATGAGAGTACTAATCGGTCGGAAGTATGTAACATATATATATATAGTACAGACACGCACACACCCCTTATCTGTTTTTATGGTCCTAGAATCCGACTTCCCAATTCAGTACGTAGATCCCGCGATAGGCTTGAGGAATGTCGTACAGCAGCATAAACCCAAGGAACCAGGAAGCAAAGAGTCTACAGCTAAGCTGCTTGTAGAACGGCCGACCCCAAATCCGACTTCAACCCTAAACCAAAGACCATGCAAAAACTCCCCGCTCCCTTACATCCCCCATCCTGTCATCGCCCAAACCTAAACCCCGAAAATGCCTACAAGCCCTAAACCCTAAACCCAAAAACCTAAAACCCTTAAACCCTACAAGCCCTAAACCCTAAAACCCCTGCACGCCCTAAGCCCTAAACCCCAAAAGCCCCCAAAAGCCTGCACACCGAAACCCGAAAAATGGGCTGGTTCTTAGTAGGGTCTGAGGGAATGAGATACCGTATAAATCCCTTAAAGGGTATATATATATATATACATATATACATATATACATATATACATATATATATATAGGGCCCTAGTTCCCTCTTTCGCTACTAAGAACCAGGAAACAAACCACCACGTAGGCCGATAGGCGCATTCGGCCGCGTCGTCGCGGCGCAGGGCTGCGCTCGCGAGTCGGTGGAGGTCCGACTGATGGCTGGTTTAGGGTTCAGGTTTTAGGGTTTAGGGTTTTTTTTAACAAGGTACGGTTTAGGGTTTGGGGTTTAGGGTTTACGGCTTTCGGGGCTTAAGGGTTCTTAGGGCTCTGACCTGGGACTTGAGGGTGGCTCTACGAGCTGCAAGGCTTTAGGGCTTTTACGGGGCTTTGGGGCGCTTGGCAGTTGCGGGGGGCCTTGGGGGGGGCCTTGGGGCCGGGCACATCAGATCCATCGACATCCTTTCTTTATGGTCTAACCGCACGATGATGCATGCATATCTGGGCCTCTGCCGCTTCTTCCGCAGTCGCGGCTCTCAACCCTACCTGGCACACCCTGTAACAGTACTCCAACATGAAGGCCCCTCTCAAAACACCATCAACTTTGGGATGTTCCCCCTTATACTAACAGTCCTCATCAGTAGGGATCATGGTATCGCTTTCCCGAAGCCCTAGACCCTAAACCCCGAACCCTGAACCCTGAACGCTAACCCCCCCCCCCGGTCCCTTTGGTATTGAGGGCACCCAAAGAAAGGGGTCTCCACTCACTCAAAAAAACTTGGGATGGGGGGCCTGCCCTCTGCCGATGTGATGATGTGGGGTTTGGGTTTGGGTTTAGGGTTTGGGGTTTGGGGCTTGGGGCTTGGGTTTGGGGTTTGAGGTTTAGGGGTTGACAAAGGAAGGGATGTTCGCCATTGTGCTAGCAGTCCTTAGCAGGGATGTAAACGACTTTTTAGGTATAAGTAGCTATAATAGGAACCCAGAACCCTCAACCCTCAACCCTCAAGCCTAAACCCTAAACCCTAAACCCAGAACATCTGGGGCCAATCCGAAAGCGCGTTCGCCTTTAGGTCCTCTTGCGTGTGGAGAAGCCGGTGGAAGTGTTCATCCTGCTAGGGTTTAGGGTTTAGGGTTTAGGGTTTAGGGTTTAGGGTTGAGGGTTGAGGGTTGAGGGTTGAGGGGTTAGGATTTAGGGTTCATCCTCGGCTGCAGGGCTCACACAGTTTCGCACACAGTTTCGGATGTTAAGGCTTTGGGCACTTGTGCCGATTGTGGATGTTTTGACTTGGTACGCCAGCAACCACATCATAATTTGGGATGTCCCCCCCTCATACTAACAGTCCATAATCGGGATCATAGTACCCCCCCCCCCCCCCCCCCGCTATTTCAATCCCGATTAAGGACTGTTAGTATAAGGGGGAACATCCCAAAATATGCTAAGGGCATCACTGTTTGGGGGGCTGGTTGCTTTCTATAAGGGAACCTTGAACCCATAACAAAAGGTATACAGGGTACCATTGGGCTACCAAGCGAAGAGTTCCCGGAGATGGGGCTTTGGAGATTCCGGCCGGTTCATCCTGTAGACCATGCAAGTCGGTTTAGGGTGCAGGGTTTAGGGTTTAGGGAGGCTAGGGTTTGGTGTTTAGGGTTTATGGTTCAGGGTTCAGGGTTTAGGGACTAGGGATTAGGGATGAGAAGGTTTTGCCAGTTGGCTTGGCCGCGAGTCTGCACAACAGCAACCCTCGCAGCAGACTTTGGGTGTTTGACTCCAGCTCTGACACTGCAACCTTCTGCCGCAGGTTTAGCACCTTAGGGCTTGAGGTGCAGGGTTTATGAACGCGCTGGCCCTGCCTGTCATGCCAGAGACTTACATCCCTAATTTCCCTCTGTCCTCACCTACTTTTGCTAAGAACTCCCCCTCAGAAGAAGACTTTAAAACATCCTTCCTGAGGGCAAGATAGGGACTACTACTATCTATCATGTTTTGGGGGGTCCTTAAGCAAATAGTAGCCAAGCAGGGAATGAAGATTGCCTCGGAGCCGGCTACGACATGGTTCTGGCCGCCCATGCGTTGCAGTGCCGAGAGCATGGACCTCGTCCAGGGGCGGATTCGGATAGGAACCGAGAGTAGGATGGCCCTTAAGATAGTCCTGAAAAGGATCCTCTTAAACCCAAGAAGGGAAAACATAGCACATCCCAAGGGCCTACCTATGAGAAGGAGAGAGGGGCGGCAAGGAACGTTCCTTCCCCCCCCCCCCTCAAGAAAGTAACAAAATACAACAAACAACAAACAACCCTGACCCTGCCTATATTCACTTTGATTTTAAGAGGGATGCATTTTAACAAAAGTTGCAGATGAATCATTGGGCTGTGTTTTTCCGTAGCTTGATTTGAGTTCCTCGGGATGCTTGTGGACCACATGAACCCTGCAAATTGGTATCAGATGCCCTGTACTTCTGTCATCCAATCAGGAATCCGGACGATAGGACTCGCACGGTTGACACAGCTTACTGGGTGCTTGGGTGCTTAAGGTTTAGGGTTTAGGGTTTAGGGTTTTGGGTTTAGGGTTAGGGTTTAGGGTTTAAGGCTTAGGGCTGAGGATTCAGTAGCTCCGGGTCGAGCAGTCTCTGGTTGCATGCCGCGGGCTAGGAAAGTACCCACTCACCCAGAGAATCCCAAGACACTAAGAAATGCAAGTGCGAATATTCTCTTCACACATATTTCAATCCCACAAAACTCCAAAAAGGCCTTGCCCACGAATTTTTGTGCCTTGCCCACGAGTTGTTGTGCCTTGCCCACGAGTTGTTGCGCCTTGCCCGAACTTTTGTGGCTTGCCCATGAATTCTTTGTGGCTTGCCCGCGAATTGTTATGCCTTGTGCCCTTGAGTTTTCGTGCCCTACGCACCAATTTTTGTGCCTCGCCCACCAATTTGGAGGCCGAAAAGTTCGTGGGCAAGGCACGAAAGTACGTGGGAAGTCCCGTTTTCGGGTTTTGGGCCTTGCCCAGCCTTGCCCAGCCTTGCCCAAGAATGTTTTTGCCTTGCCTCTGAATTGTTGTGCCTTGCCCATGAATTTCATTCGGGTTTTAAGTGCTATACGATAGAGGAGGCTTAGGGTTTAGGTTTAGGGTTTAGGGTTTAGGGTTTAGGGTTTAGGGTTTAGGGTTTAGGGTTTAGGGTTTAGGGTTTAGGGTTTAGGGTTTAGGGTTTAGGGTTTAGGGTTTAGGGTTTAGGGTTTAGCGTTTAGGGTTTAGGGTTTAGGGCTTAGGGTTTAGGGTTTAGGGGGGATTAGGGCTTGTAGGTTTTTGCCCATCAGCCTTGTGCGGTTGAGCTCTTCCGTGGTAAGCTGCAGCTGCTTCTGGGCCTCACAAACATGGAATTGTCCCATAAACCCCGAGTTAGCTGCCAGGAAGACCACCTGACGAGAGTTTAGCTTTCGGGGTTCGGGGTTTAGGGCTTAGGCTTTGCAAGGGACATTTTTTCAACCCTGCCTGAAGTAGCGAGTACAGGGCCCTTTCTGTCTCAGATAATATTGCTGATTATCCTCTTCACCCACAAAGAGAAAAACTGCGAAGTATTCCACCGGCCTACCTCGCCCTGAACCCTAAACCCTAAACCCTAAACCCTAAACCCTAAATTGCACCTCCCGAAGTCGCCAACGAAGGACGGCTTCCTGTCCAGCAGTTTGGGGTTCCTGGAGGTTATAGGGTTTAGGGTGTAGGGCTCAGAGTTTAGGGTTTAGGGTTTAGGGTTTAGGGTTTCGGGCTTGAAGGGTTTGTGGTAGGTTCCTGCAGCGGAACTGGGACCCACAGCTCCGCGCATGTTTGTTTTGCCGGGTATGGGTCCATCGGCGGAAAGTAGAGTTTTGGGTTTAGGGTTTAGGGTGTAAGGTGTAGGGTTAAGTTCAGGGTTTCGTAGAGCACAAGGGAAAATCTGGCTCGTGCCTTCGTGCCTTCTGAGAAGGACAGAATGGAATTACAGGAGCAGAGCCAGTTGTCGTTATCATCCCCTTAGCAATGTTGAATAAGTATCATGTACCTACCCATTCGACGTAGCTAGAACAGCACGCTTAGCCAGTCTTCCGCCTGACTTGGATGAGCATGTTCCATGAAACAAGACGCCACTTTGAAGACAGAAGACACCCGGCGCCACGCCCGCCGCGGGGAGGCTCTATCAACTGCTTGGGGATGCCATTCGACGAGGGGTCGAGGGCGAAATCCGAAGTCTCTGAACTGACAGCCTCCAGACCCTTCGAGCGCAAAATCTTATATTTTTGGAGTAGGCGGTCACGGGCAAGCCCTGAGCGATCTTAAGCCCACTGCAGCCCGTGAGAAAGCAAAGCAAAACCTACAAACCTCGAAGTTTTGCTCGACCCACATGGAATTTTATGAAAATCAGGGACCCCTAATATCGTCCCCAAAAATTAGGATTCCCTTACAAGAAGAACCCTAATAAGGTGCCCTCCCTGCATTCGGAAACATCTCCCATTCTCGGAGAGCCGAAAAATCCCGAAGCCTAAGGCAACAACCGAACTGAGCTTCCGGGCAGCCCCTAAACTGCTTGGTTTAGGGTTTAGGGTTTAGGGTTTAGGGTTTAGGGTTTAGGGTTTAGGGTTTAGGGTTTAGGGTTTAGGGTTTAGGGTTTAGGGTTTAGGGCTTAAGAACCCCCTCCCCCCCAAATTTGTTTTCCAATGTTCTTCCTTAGGCAATACAGGGACTCTGATCTTTTCTTTTCGGGGGGTTCTCAAGCCAATAGTAGTAAGAAGTAAAGCCTAAACCCTACACCCTAAACCCTAAATCCTAAACCCTAAACCCTAAACCCTAAATCCGAAACCCCGAACCCTAAACCCTAAATCCTAAACCCTAAACCCTACATCCGAAACCCCGAACCCTAAACCCTAAACCCTAAATCCGAAGCCCCGAACCCTAAACCCTAAACCGTAAACCCGAAAACCGCGTTCCGGAAGCATGAAGGCCCCACCGAGCGGAAGGCCGAGCGGTCAGGGATCTCTCGGCCCTGAGCTCAGAGAGTGTTCAGGGAAAAGTTTTGAGCTTAGGGTTTAGGGTTTAGGGTTTAGGGTTTAGGGTTTAGGGTTTAGGGTTTAGGGTTTAGGGTTTAGGGTTTAGGGTTTAGGGTTTAGGGTTTAGGGTGTAGAGTTTAGGGTTTAGGGTGTAGAGTTTAGGGTTTAGGGTTTAGGGTGTTTTGAGTGTAGGGAGAAGGGCTTAATTAAGGATTAGGGTTTTGAAGTCTTCTTCGCTGAAGAAGCGGCTTTTCTATGGTTTAAGTTGGATACTCGCCCTGTAGACGTATGAGGTTCAGGGTTGGTGTAGTTATGCTCCCGGGTGGAGGGATTCGGACCGCAGGGTTTAGGGTTTAGGGTTTAGGGTCTGGGGTTTAGGGTCTGGGGTTTGGGGTTTAGGGTTTAGGGTGAGTTGCTGCTGTTGCTTCGGGCTCCACCGCGTCGAAAAATGGTTAGAAAGGGCAGGACCCCCTCAAGGCTGGACGAGACTGGCAACGCAAATGTCCATAGCACCCCGAAGCACCCCGACATCGAAACTAGACCCAGGAGTAACCTAGGAGTACAAAGGGTGTACTTTCTGGTTTAAGGGGCCTCTCAGGGGAACCCATATCCCTTCGAAAAAGGGAATAAAAGCCTACTCGGGTCCTCGTAAACCCTACATGCGTTGAGTCAGAACCCAATCCCCGGCCATGAGCTCGAAACAGCAACAAGCCTGCCAAAACAGCAAGCACATGTCAGGTTTCTGGTGCTGCCCTAAACCCTACATGGGGGTTTCCGAAATTAAGGGCAACTTTTGGGGATCTATGGTGAAAATCCCCTATTTTCGTTTCCCCGCACATGAACAGACCCATGGCCCCTGAACTGGTAAAACCCCTGAATCCCACACTTCGGGTTTAGGGTTCTTTAGAGACCCTTGAGAACAACCGCGATCCGGAATGACCCTAAAACGGACACCTACCCTTAAACCCCAAACCTAAAAGCCTCAACCCTAAACCCTAAACTACTGACGAGCTCCCCCCACCTCGCGCTTCGGCCGGGAGCGGGGCGGTGCGGGGCGGTGCGGCGGGGTCCGTGCCTTGAGGGTGGGAAGCTTTGGGTTTAGGGTTTAGGGTTTAGGGTTTAGGGTTTAGGGTTTAGGGTTTAGGGTTTGGGGTTTGGGGTTTGGGGTTTGGGGCTTGGGGTTTAGGGTGTAGGTATCGAAACTCAACTGACTCCCCATGCTAAGCCTTAAGCCCAAAACCCTCAGCCCAATCCCTAAAGCCTAGACCCGGCATGTTGGGGGGGGGGGGGGGGGGGAAAGGGTTAGGCAGGGGGTTGCAGCTTTAGGGGGGGGGTTCAATATGCTCCATTGGGAAGACGGTTGCGTATTCTTGGTGAGTGCACACGCAGAGCACTGCATATCGACAACCCCGAGCACACCTGCTCAATGCACCTTAGCCGCTTAAGAAACCAGGCAGTAGCTGGCCTTCAACCCTCAAGCTACGGAAAGACAAGTTCACGACCACACCTATCGGCCCGCAATTTGAATGGTCCATGCGGCATCTGCCAACGCGATCTTCTGAGACTCTGGAAGGAAGCCTGCCAGAACGACAAAGAGGCAAATCTGGCGGTAGTTGTGGGCTTCGTGCTTAATTGCAAGTGAGACTATATTGACCCCTCCCCCATTTCAGGAATTTAAGCAGTTCTGTTTGCAGTTGCCCAACTGCAACACGAGACACAACTACCCGTGAGGGGGGTAGCCCAGTATACTGTAGTAGGGGTACTCTTGTGGGGTGGGTTACTTTACAAGGGAACCTATAACCAAAAAAAGTGCAAAAGGTACCACCCGGCTACCAAGATACCATAGATACTGTACTTGCCCTAAGACCCCTGAGCTCCCCCAAAAACACCGCTGCCATGGTAGGCCACGAAACACGCCACAAGCTTCAAGCATAAAACCCCTCGAAGGACAGATACCCTAGACGACCCACAACCAAACATGACCCAAAAAAACCCTAAACCCTAAACCCTAAACCCTAAACCCTAAACCCTAAACCCTAAACCCTAAACCCTACACCCTTGGTAGCCCAGTACCCATATTACAATAAGGATGCCCCCCTTTTTGCGTTGGTTACTGTAGAAGGGGACCTAGAACCCCCCCAAACAAGTGAAAACGGTACATCTGGACTACCCAAGAGCCCTAAGCCCTAAACCCTAAACCCTAAACCCTAAACCCCAAACCCTAAACCCTAAACTTAAACCCTAAACCCTAAACCCTAAACCGTAAACCCTAAACCCTAAACCCTAAACCCTCCGATTGCCTCGGTCCCCCACACTGGGCGTCGATTCGGGCGACTCGGCCGGGGCGATGGCAGTGACCTCAACCTTTTCGTTCTTCGGGTCGAGGGTGGTCAGGGGTGGCCAGTTTAGGGTTTAGGGTTTAGGGTTTAAGGTTTAAATTTCAGGTTTAGGGTTTAGGATTTAGGGTTTAGGGTTTACGGTTTAGGGTGTACGGTTTAGGGATAGGGTTTAGGGTGTAGGGCGTAGGGTTTAGGGTGTAGGGTTTAGAGGGTTTAGGGATTGTTGGGTGTGCACCCAAGGTTTTTCATGCAGTCTGGTTGGGGGGCAGATTGAATCCCGGAGACCTTCGAGGTAGCTTGTTTAGGGTTTAGGGTTTAGGGTTTAGGGTTTAGGGTTTAGGGTTTAGGGTTTAGGGTTTAGGGTTTAGGGTTTAGGGTTTAGGGTTTAGGGTTTAGGATAGGGAATCTGCTGCAGAGACGCAAGAAAGAACCAATATATGGGTCCCGGAACCCCTTCAGCCCTCAACTTTAACCCCACACCCGAAACACCCTAAGACCTACCTGTGGCTCCCAAACCCTACAAAAGAGTAGGTTATGACCCTTAAATAGCGCACAACCCCCCCCCCCCAAAACATAGTAGGTAAATGGAGCCCCAGGTATAGATTCTGCCCTACGTAGCCCCCCTAAACCCTAACCCTAAACCCTAAACCCTAAACCCTAAACCCTAAACCCTAAACCCTAAACCCTAAACCCTAAACCCTAAACCCTGCTGGGGCCCGGGCCGATGGGAGGGTGAAGTCGCACCAGTTCCACCCAGGGGGCATCGACAGCACCGGCCGCGCCAT